TTTCACATAATCCCTTTCATTGCATTTTTATGGATTATTGGATCTTAAGCCGCTGTGCATGTTTTGAAAAATCGTCTCGGGTGTACGCACATCTCTGTGTTCTATCAATCGACTGCTAGAACAAAACTATTTAAACTTAAATTTGCACCTTTGGCTAGTTACAGAATTGAATTAATATATGTAAAACTGCATCAGTTCTGAGGTACCAATTATGTTATTTCAGATTTTTTTAATTTAAAAGTAATGAAAACAAAATCGGTTCAGTTCAAATTTTGTGATTGTTGTGGTCCAAAATTCAAATAATTCCAGCATTATTTGAACAAAAACTAATTTCAGGGGGAAAAATCAAATTTCGTGCTACAGATGATTCACATTTTCAAGTTAAATTGAAGAAACTCTATGGGAAGCGAGTGATTGCGGGCATTGATTAAATTAATTAAATTATCAGGTTCATGGCTGCAGACATTGTAATCCGAATTGCTCAGTGGTAAGCTGCTGTGTCAAATGCGTGGCCGTGCAAAATAAATGTGAGCGAAAGGGGCCTCACCTCTCATGGACCCTACCCTGCTGAACCTCTACAGAAGCTTTAATCACATTTGAGGTCAGGGTTTCCCCAACGAACAACGAGCAAAGGTCATAATTGACTGCTAGCCCTGCAGCCTGTCCTCGCGGCCCAGCATTACGCGCGCTTGAAAGCATTGTTGCTAAATTAGAAGAGACACAAAAAGAGTCGCGGAGTGCTCTGCCTAAAAGTATGCTTATTTGATTCTTAAGCCTACGTCATGTTTAGTACTGGATACTATAATCACTTAATAAAATTAAGTTTAAGATAGGAAAAGTTCAATAACTGAATATAATGAGTTTGCGTTAAAAAAAAAGAGTACATGAAAATTCATTTTAAAACACGGTTCATAATAGGGTTGTGCATCAAAGTAAATTAAATTCATCCACTTAATACGTTTGAAGAGCGAGCTGAAAATGTCCTTTTTCATTTCACATGAATTCAGCCGCTTCAATACTGAAAAATTAATAAGTAGGCAACAAGTTAAGCACTATTGTGTTGCAGGTTGCAGAATGCTCTCGAATAGAAATAACAAAACAAGTGGCTCGCTTGAAGTGTGCTATTTTCAGAGTTGAAATTAAAATAGCGGCGCAATGGATGCACGTTTCAAAAAACTTGATTGATTTTGAATGATAATTCTGGTCATGATGTGAAATATTGTCAAAGGCATTGTTGCAAAGTTAGAAGAGGCTCAAAGAGCAAGTCACAGAGCGCCCGGGATAAAAATTTGCTAATTTGATTCTCGAGCGCCATACATGTGTGCGCTCAACAATTTTGCGCTCTCACTCGCGCTCGCTCTCATGGGCAACCTTGCGCCTTTTTGCACATCTGAATTCTTTCTAATATTTGTTAAATTCTATTGAAAGATTATAAAAAAAAAACATTTGATATGTAGTTTTAATTGATATTATTGCAATGATAAAATATTTTCTAATTTGCTGAGCGCACTGAGCGCTGCACTCCGCTCAAAAGCGCAGAGTGCAGAGCGAAACGTGCGCTCTGCCTATGTATGTCGAGCGCATAATTCCATGCTGACGAAAAAGAATTTTAGTCATAGTTCTGACGACTGTTTGTCGACTGTTCAAACGTTCAAGCGCCGTTCAACATCAGACTTGATGCGCAGGTTAATGAGATGTGCGGAGAAGAGGGACATTTGATATGATTGCCACCGTGACGCCTCAGCCAATATGAACAAATTTCTCTCGTGCTGGTGACACAAACCGATTTTTAGCACCCCTCGCACCCCTATCAGCATCTGCAAATTTACGTGCCACTTGCAAATAGCTACGTCTTACAACAGCGAAGTAAAGTCGCAATTTGAAAGGAGTCCAACAATTAAGACAAAGTCCTGTTGGCTTGTGCTATTTGTTGATGGTGCAGGAGGCACCACCTGATTCATTATTATTTTATTTTTTTGAACTAAGCTTTGTATAAAAATGAAAATCATCATTTTTCTGGCATATCCTTTTTGTCATTAGTATCATTAAATAAATAAATTTTGAGCAAAATCAAAACTATCATTAAAAAGCGAGAGAGGATTATTTTTGTACGCTTGTCCAGGTAGAGGCTTCAAAAGAGTGCGAGCGACTGTTTTTGTATTTTGACGAGCGCCAGCTTTTTCCAAAGAGCGCAGAAAACGAGCGTTCTTTACGCCCTATTCACTTTTCAGGAAATCATATAAAGTGGCCCATTTTAACTTATAATAAAACCTGACGTTCTTGGGAACTAATAAAATGATTAATTGTGGGCATTTACCAAAGCAGTGCTTATTTTATTTTATCATATGTGTGTCCAAATAAGTCGAACTTATGTCTGTTGAACTCAAGAACCATTTTAGTTTCATTTTACGCATGAAAATGTATAATTTTCAAGAAAGAAATCTAAATCAATACAAATTCTTTGTTTAATTTGAGGAGCCCTATTAAAGGTTGTTATTTTATAATGAATATTACTTTTTTTAAATCCTAAAATGTGTAAATTATAAAAAAAAAAATCATCAACGAGAGCAAATCAAAAAATCATCGCCAAATAAATGAAAACTTGAGGATGATCAATCCAGAATAAAATTTGAAGTTAATCAAGAAAATAAGGTTGGGCATTCATTAGAATTTTGACAATCTCAGCAGAGCGTTTAATTTTCCGATAAAAGTTTAATCTGAAACGTGAAATAGCGCGAGTTCTCAATCAAGAAAGGAAAAATGGACAGTGGGAGCAAAATTTTCTGCAAAAGAGCACCTGCATGACCGCTCTAAAAGTTTAAATAATAAAATATGCTGATCAATAAAATTCTGAAAACATCGGAATTGGCTTTCAAGAATTTTAATTTGTTAATGTGTCATCTTTCAAAATTTAGCTCTGAGACACGTAGAGCAGGATATTTTTTTTACGAAACAATACACGAATCTAAAACCCATCAAAGAAAAGCGGATTTTAAATTAAATCTAAGCACAATAAAATCTTTCGCGCCTCTGGGCCAAACTAAACCATTGTCCATTAGCAATCATTACTCAATTGAGGTCAAACCACCAATTGGTACCAAAGGAGAGCCATATATATCTTAAACACAAAAATATTTTGGCGAGCGAAGCGAGCCAAAATAAAATAATTTATCAATGAATGGATAGTAAATTTTTATGATTTTGCAAGTTGCGAATAAGGGGATTTTATACATTTAGCCAGTGGCTGGCGCGTCTCAGCTACAACCGCGGCGGCTGGCGGCTGGTCACGTGACTCAAAAAACCGCGGCTTGCGCGGCTGGCTGCGACCTCCAATAAGAGGAAATTTCAACGCTGGTTGGAAATTTTCAATCAAATAAATATAAAATAATTTTATCCTGCACTTAAGCATCGCATTTCTTATTCGCAGATATATTATCAAAAATCGCCACTTGCGATCTTTTGCTTAAGCGTAGTCCATTTATATACATTTTATTATTTATTTAAATTTAGCAAGCGCACGAAGTTAGATGTGCGTCCGCAAAATTATGAAAAAAATAGTTTGAATTTTTTTGCAGACTTAAATTTTTTTTATGTGAAAGTAGAAAGTAGAAAGTAGAAGAGGCAAAATTTAAAGAAAATTGAAAAATCTTCGGTGAGCGAAGTAATAAAAAGGGTTTGCTAAAAAAAAGTATAAAATTAAGAGTGAAGTTTTTAAAGAAAAAATTTAATTACAAAAATGTAGCCAAAGACTTGCTCTTTCTTTTTCTCTTTACTATTTTTGACGAAAAAATGGTTTATTTCTATTTATGGACGAAGCCGTAAACTCGAAGCCATGAAATAAATTTTTTATATTTTTTCCAAAATGGTTTTTGGTTAATTGAGGTTTAATACTGTCAGGAATTGTAGTTTAAGTGCACGTCCCAATAATGTGAAGTTTTAATTAGTCCCACACACCGGGCGCGCACGCGTAATTAATCATGAGCACTTAGCATGGAACGAGTGACTGATCCGGAGTCACTCGTCTCCGACGGTCCAAGCCTGAAGGACGGCCGTCTCTCTGTATAACCACACACAAGGTATCTGTACTGCACCTTCCATTAATAATAATACGAGGGCTACGGCCATTCAACTTTAACTCTTGTAGTTTAATTATTATATCTTCCCCAGAGGTTAGGCACCATCAGGGCCAAACCCTGATATCTGGAGGCACCCGCCAGATGTCTCCTTTCTTTTAATTAAAATAAGGGACTAGAGACAAAATGGGACACTAATAAAATAGCCCCAGTTCCATTTTTCTGCCTCCTAATGTCGATTTACTGACATCGCTGTTTTTCCCCTGGGGAAACCGGGTTTTCCCGTGCCACCGAAAAAGGGCAAATTGGTTCCTGTCATTCCCGATTTTCCCGCTCTGTCAACCAGGAGCACCGGGAGATTTCTGGACATCTCTCTTTCTGCCATTCATAAAACAAAAAGCCTTTTCTCTCGTAAATCAAAGGTGGAGAAAAAAATCAAATTCCGACGAGTCAAGTTCTTTCGAAGATGATCCCTCTCGTCGTTTTTACTGTTTCAGTCCGCGGAACATACCTATAACCTTTTTTAGAACGACTATGTTTTCACAAGACTAAAAATATCACGTATGACTAAATTTTCAAATCAAAATATGTAGTCCCTCAACCACTTGTCGCTCGAGACTTTATCATAAATGAAAATAGTAACTATAAATCCTCAATAATTAAAATTTTAAGCATTATTATTATTAGAATAAGGTCCGGTGGCGGCCACGCTTGCATTTGATTTTGTTCGCGCGAGATCATCCTCGCCAGAGTATAGCATCGAAATCTACTCCGGCGAATATCATCGAAAGCTTCGCGCAATCAAGCCTCGTTCGCCGAGCATGAGTATGGACGCCATAATATAATTTTTATGAAGCCACCTCTCGCGACGGCTAATAGCGAACAGTATGGACTAGCCTAAAAATCTGGAAACATGTCACTACTTACATGGTGGATGGAGAGCAGAGAATTAGCGGCGTCGACTGGCTTTCGATGGCGTGCGGCTGACCTTGACTCTGTGGAACAAAACATTAACTCATTATTTGAATGCAATGAGTGAAAATTTGGAGAGAAAAATTCAATTCAGGCGGCGTACTTGCAACTTGACTGCTCAAAATGGCGCGCAGAGCAGTTACAAAACACCCATTCACTGAATCCGAATTTCTCTCCCCTCCCCGCCAATTTCTTAACGCAAAAATTAATGATTTCATTGATATGAATTTAAAATTGATTGAAAGGAAAAATTTTCATTTCATTTTTAAACATAATTATTTAAGAAAAATATAAATATAAACATATAGACGTAACAAAACAAAAAAGAGTCGATTACGTTCAATCATTCCCGCTGCTTTGAATGGAACCCTTTATACTCGCGCATGGAAACATGTTCAGTTCTGTTCAATCTGTATGATTTACGCATATTTCGTTTTCAAGCATTTCGTCTGGCTCTCTCGCTTCCCCATTGGCTGCACAAGTTGCGTTCGCCCGGGAGGTCGATGACACCACTTTCAGAGCAAGAGATCAGGGGAGAGGCGGCCGGCGAAATGCGAGAAATGCGGAAATCGAGCAAGATTGAACGAAACTGAACATAATTTGGTATGAGATATGAGACTGTTCTTCCAAGCTGTCTGGAATCAACCACACAAACCAAACTCCCAGAAATATATGCTACACCAGACATCTCTAATTTCCAGCATTGGAACTAAGAAAATTAAAGCTTAGAAATTAAAAGGAAACTATTAATAAACAAAATAAATAAAACGCTTCAATCTGAAGATAATAAAAAAAAAATGCATAAAAAACATAGCTTTTATTTTAATGAATTTTTTTTTGTTTTCTCTGTTATTATCGCGTACTTTTTTTGGTCTCAAGATCTCCAGAAGTTTTATGCCAGAAAAAATTTTATAGGAGTTAAAGAAGTTATTCTCTTGGACAAAATCAATTTGAAATTCATACAAAAAAAGCTCATCAATGCCAAATTTTGCTAGCACCTCTAAGTGACGCGCTTATGGATATTAAATTTTAAAATTTTCGTTCCATATACTGGCAAAAGTGCCAAATTAGAATTTATTAACTACCACAAAAAGTTTGAATGGAAAATAAATGTAATTTACAAGGAATAAGGATGGACAAAATCGCAAAAGCGATCTGCGAACGGAGTTCATTTTTGTTTGGACTCCTTCCGTTCCGAAACCAGAATTGATAAATAAAACGTTCGGAAATGTGTTTTTCAAACATAATTTGATCGCAATTGATCGCAAACAACGTTTTAAATCGCGATCGCAATCGCTCGATTTTTAAATTTCAAGATCGCGATCGCAAAATTTGAGATCGCGTCCATCCTTGGTAATTTACATACCTCTAGATGAGGCAGGCACGGTGTTGATTGACCTCCCCAGGTCCTCCAGGCAGTGTCACAGTCAAATCAGCGGCCACAAATGTTGTCCTCGCGGAGACTGTAGTCCGACTCACTTCACAGACAGATTCAGTAAGCCAGAGAGAAAAAAGGAAGGATGTGAATGTGAAACGCAACCCCCACCTCTGCTAGGTTTCGGGAGAATGCAAATGCAGGTTTGCACTTGCATAAAAGCACCACTTCCATGGCATTTTTCAATCCACAATCCATACTTGACTGAAACAAAACCCAAAGAATACAATATTATCACAATATTATCAGCTTATGATCTCGATCCTTGCCTTCCGTAAATCAATTAGCAAAGCTGCCTTTTAAGAAGCTGCGGTCAGCTATAGCATTTAATTTTCCAAAAGCATCCCTAACAATAAGTAAATCTGTACTACTTAAAACAATGAAAAAATATTTTAAAAATAGATAAGAAATTTAATCAGATCGATTAAAACAATATAATTATTAATTAACAAGATTTGAATCAGGTATTTTTGTTAAACCAATTCATCACTCAATTATTAAAAAGAAACTTACAATTCACTTGTTCAGACATAATTATTTGGCAAGGCCAGAATGCTTTTCTTAAGTCATCTTTATCATTATCTGGTTGCGTGTTAAGAGGAACTAAAGGACCGGTTTTCTGAACCAGAGCAATATGATTGCCGCTGATGTTACTTCCCTTGTTGCCGACCAAATCCTGTAAAGCAAAATATTTTTTTTTCTTTTCAGATTGGACTGGACATACCGAGCATTCTATTGAAGCATCTAATTTTTTTCTCTTCCTTCCATTCCAGCCATATTATTCATTGTTCCTGCTATGGTGCCATTGGATTTTGATGTTGACTTGCTGGAAGTTTTTTAAGGCGGCTTTAGTGACATTTCTAAAAAAGGAAGGATTTTCTTTTTGGCTTATTGAACCATTTTATATTAAAACACTCTTAAAACCTGTTTAGAGCTGGCTTAGCAGGAGATTCACTTTGTCTTGTAACTCTCTTCATTTCGTTTTAAGGACCCTGAAAAATATAAAATTGTCAGAGATGTAATGATCTAATTTATGTGTCGTTCATCATTACCATGCTCAGACTTATGAAGTCTTCATCTATCTCAGGAAGAGCAATGAAGTAAGGAATAGTTCAGGACTGTTTAAAATTCTCAACTTAAAGCTCATCTAGAGTTTAATAAATTAGTGGATGAATATAAAGGATTAATAATAAATACTTCCAAATGATGGGTTGATATCATTTTTATTATCACTTCATTGTCATTTTCTCATCTTAGTAAATCAAAATCACTCAAGTTGAATGCTCATTCACGTATATATGAAATGGAAGAAATAAAAAAAAATATGATGGGTGGAATGAACTGAAACATTAATGCACAGAATTGACACTGTAAATAAATACAAAGTCAAAAATTATCAGTACTTGTGTTGCAATCATTCTGAATGACTGGACAATCACTTTGAGACCTATCAACTAAAGAGAATTTCAGCAAGGAACAGCAAAAGGTTTAGTCGACCTCCTCCATGCGGGAGACGTCCTCAGCATCACCCTCAAGAGGTGGCATCTCCTCAGCAACTGGAGCCTCAACAGGAGCTTCGTCCTCATCAATGCCAAGACCAAGCTTGATCATGCGGTAAATGCGAGAGGCGTGGGTCTGGGGTTCCTCCAGGGCAAAGCCAGAGCTGAGCAGGGCAGTTTCAAAGAGCAGCATCACCAAGTCCTTGACAGCCTTGTCATGTTTGTCGTCATCAGCCTTCTGTCTCAGTGCATCAACAATTGGATGGTCGGGGTTGATCTCGAGGTGCTTTTTAGCTGCCATGTAACCCATGGTTGAAGAGTCACGCAGGGCCTGCGCCTTCATGATGCGCTCCATGTTGGCCGTCCAGCCGTACTGAGAGGTGACGATGCAGCAAGGAGACTCGACCAGTCTGTTGGACACCACGACCTTTTCCACCTTCTTGTCCAGAATGTCCTTCATGACCTTGCACAAGTTCTCAAACTTGGCCTTGTCCTCCTCACGCTTTTTGATCTCGGCCTCGTCTTCAGGCAGCTCAAGTCCCTCCTTAGTGACGGAGACAAGTTGCTTGCCCTCAAACTCCTTCAGCTGCTGCACGACGTACTCGTCAATGGGCTCGGTCATGTACACAACCTCAAAGCCACGCTTCTTGACACGCTCAACAAAGGACGAGTTGGACACCTGGTCCTTGTTCTCGCCAGTGATGTAGTAGATGTGCTTCTGGTTCTCCTTCATGCGGGCAACATATTCCTTCAAGGAGCACTGGTCGTCTCCGGAGGCAGAGGTGCTGTAGCGGAGAAGCTCAGACAGCTTCTTCCTGTTGGTGGAGTCCTCGTGGATGCCCAGCTTGAGGTTCTTTGAGAACTGCTCGTAGAACTTCTTGAAGTTTTCCTTGTCCTCAGCAATCTCATCGAAGAGCTCCATACACTTCTTGACCAAGTTCTTGCGAATAACCTGAAGTCAAGAGGAGAAAAATTAGTAATGTTGCATTACAACAAAAATGTTTAAGAACAATGACACTTTCAAAAAAATAACAATAAATTTAAAAATGTATAGCGTAAAATAAAAATATTAAAAATCAAGTATACATTTTTGATTAGAAAAATGAATAAAATTTTTAGAGCTCACCTTCAGGATCTTGTTCTGCTGGAGCATTTCACGAGAGATGTTGAGGGGCAGATCCTCGCTGTCAACCACACCTCGGACAAAGTTGAGGTACTCGGGGATGAGCTCCTCACAGTTGTCCATGATGAAGACTCTGCGCACATACAGCTTGATGTTATTCTTGCGCTTCTTGTTCTCAAACAGATCGAAGGGAGCGCGACGAGGAATGAAGAGCAGAGCTCTGAACTCAAGCTGACCTTCAACGGAGAAGTGCTTTACAGCCAAATGGTCTTCCCAGTCATTAGTCAGAGACTTGTAGAACTCGCCGTATTCCTCCTGGCCAATATCGTCCGGGTTGCGAGTCCAGATGGGCTTGGTCTTGTTGAGCTCTTCGTCCTCCGTGTACTTTTCCTTGATGGTTTTCTTCTTCTTCTTGTCCTTGTCTTCATCCTCATCGCCCACATCCTCTATCTTGGGCTCCTTTTCCTCTTCATCTTCCTTCTTTTCCTTATCTTTCTCCTCCTCAGCCTCATCGTCGCTGACCTCCTTGTCACGCTCCTTCTCAACGAGCAGCTTGATGGGATAGCCAATGAACTGAGAGTGCTTCTTCACAACTTCCTTGACTTTGCGCTCCTCGAGGAACTCCTGCAGGTCCTCCTTGATGTGCAGGACAATCTTAGTGCCGCGGCCCATTGGCTCGCCGTGGTCGGGACGAACAATGAAAGATCCGCCAGCAGATGACTCCCATGTGTATTGCTCGTCGTCGTTATGCTTGGAGGTCACAGTGACCCTGTCAGCAACCAGGTAGGCTGAGTAGAAACCAACACCAAACTGACCAATCATGCTGATGTCAGCACCAGCCTGCAGAGCCTCCATGAAAGCCTTGGTGCCAGACTTTGCGATCGTTCCCAGGTTGTTTACCAGGTCAGCCTTGGTCATGCCGATACCGGTGTCAATGATGGTCAGAGTGCGGTCATTCTTGTTGGGAATGATCTTGATGTAAAGCTCTTTGCCGCTCTCAAGCTTGCTGGGGTCAGTCAGGCTCTCGTATCTGATTTTGTCCAATGCCTACAAAAAAAAATATTAATTTTATATTGATATATTAGACATAATGCTTGACAATACAATGAAAAAAAAATCAGAATTCACTTTTTTAAACTATATTCTGTGTGTATATTTGTATAATATTAGTTAAACTTACATCAGAAGAATTTGAGATCAACTCTCGAAGGAAGATTTCCTTATTGGAGTAAAAGGTGTTGATGATCAGGGACATCAACTGGGCGATTTCTGCCTGGAAGGCAAAGGTTTCCGCTCCCTCCATCTGAATGTCCTCGGGCATCTACAAAAAATCAATAGCAATTTGTTAATATCATCTGCGTGCAGTTCATACAAATTATTGTAACGGCCTCAGCTCAACAAGAAAGAATCACTTTGAGGAACTAAGTAGAGCATTAGGAAATGAAACAAAAGGGGCTCAGTTAGCTCAGATTACACGGCCAAGGGAGCAAGGGACCAATTAAAGCAGAAAAACGGTAAAAGGCAGACATTGTAATAATATTTTTTTACAACACGCTTGAAATTGTGCATTAATTTACATTTTCCTTTGCTTAAAATTTCAAACACATGACCTAATTGCGAAGAGAAACTGTGGAAGTTTCATTACAAAAATAAAATCAATAAAAAATCAGTAACTAAAAAAATGGCCTTTCAATTAATTACATTCAAAACGTGGGAATATTAAATGAAATCAATAGTTCTGCTTCACGGAAGATCTAAATTAGAAAAGGCCCTTTACAGTAAGGGGCCACGAGGTGGGCATCCGGGTCAAAAAACAGGGAAAAAACCGCAATTTTTCGGCCAAAATTTTACCGAATTCAGCGCGACTCACCTTTGAATTTGATATTGGAGCTGATTTAAAGCGTTGATGAGAGAATTTGCGACTCTTTGATAGCCTTAGCAAGGGAAGTCGTCGGTGCGACCTAATACTCGGGTGGCTCAAGAATGTATGGTCGCGCGGGGTAGCTGCGGAAATATATAAGCTCGACCGGCGTGCTAGACTTTTCGAGACCGGTGTTGGAAGGTTCTCGAACGAATTATGACGTCACTTCCAGCCCATGTGCGTTTTCGAGAACCTTCGAGAACATTCTAGAAGCTTTTGGACCAAAATGCGGCATCTGAGTCTGCGTCGACCGCCCATAACATGCCGGAACTTCCGCTCTTTTGGCGGCGCCAAATTTGAACAGCATTCTCACGTGTGTTACTTTTACGACCCTGCAATGCTTTTAAAATTTAACCCATTTAGATTTTGGATGCTGAAACGTTGATTTTTGGCATCTTTTATGATTTTTTCTAATGAATCGTTTATTCCGGATATTATTTAACGGCTTTTTTTGATGCTAGGGTATAATAGATGAAGTAAAAATGAGACCTAAAATTAACTGAAATCAATCTGAAATTTTCTACAAAATTTACAAACACTTTCAAGTATGCTGCGAGAACACTACAACGTACACACTTCAAAATTTTAGTTTTGAAAATTAAAAAAAAAATACATATATTTCCCTCAATATGTTTTGGATGTTTTGAATCCATTGAAAGAATTGAATATTTTATTTTAATTGATGGTCATTTAAATGTTGCAGAAGTAAGAGAACGAACAATGAACGCTGCCTGCAATTCTTGCAAAACAATAAAAAAAAAAAATACTTCGAACTTTCCCTAAAACGTACATGACATTTCTTTCATATTGGATTCAATTAAAACATCCATTAAAATTTCGTTTTTATTGATTTTTACAACGTCATATAAATGATATTTATAAAGTGATAAAAAAAAAGGAAGAATGTGAGAAACATTATTGGTAATTTTAATTATTTATATACACAAAATCGCACAAAACAAATAAAAAAATATTAAATATTAATAGCAAAATTTTTGTTAATTTTACATTAAATTTATTCACAATACAAATACAATTGAATTGAATTGACCTCTCCTTTCATAAAAATGATTTTCTGAGAAAAAGAAAAGATGAACAGGATGGAAATGGGATAAATTTTTTAAAAAATGCGCCTACAACATGCAGTGTTCCCAGGCGGTCACCCATCCAAGTACTGACTGCACTCAACGTTGCTTATCTTCGGTGATCGGACGAGAACCGGTGTGTTCAACGTGATATGGTCGTAGACAGTGTCAGATTGAAAATTTAGGTTATCTAAACACTTTGCTTGACCTCTAAACCATTAAAATTGTCAATAAGGAGTTATTTAAATCAAAAGTTCAAGAGCATAATGGAGAGTGGAAAACTTTGATATTTGCCGAGAATTTAGTCCATACAGTGCAGTGTTCGAAGAACATTTTTTATTTTGCTAAATTTTGTAGTCACCATTGCCTACGACGACCATAATTATATTAACACATTGAATCCCGGCTTTATCAAATCACTAAAGATGAGGATCGTTAAATAATGTTAATACTTGGATGGGTGTGGATGGGTGACCGCCCAGGAACACTGCATGACGAGGGCGCACATTTTTTTTAATTTATTCAGATTTTTAATCGCAGTTATTTTATGTTGCTGTTTCAATCAATTCAATCTTAAAAGATTTTTCAATTTTAATATATGTGAAAATCTTGATATACAAGCAATTTCTTCTCTTTTTAAAAAAGTGATTGATTTAATTTATTCTTTTGCATCGCACATATATTGTTAAGTGTTGTTAAGCATTTTTAAATTAACAAAATTAAGACACCACTTATCAAAAGCAGTACAAATGCCAGCAAAAGAGCAAATTTGTAGTAAAATGTAAAATAATCAAAATCTTGCTTCATACGGATCGTGAAATTATTGCTTCCATTTTTCTGGTAAATTTTCATAGCGTCTTGCCTGTGTAGCATTTAATTGCGTCTTATTAATTAGGTGCGCTGATTGTATAGAAATCAAGATTTCCAAGAACTAGTCAAGCTTGTCTCACATTTATTTATAGAGCACGCATCAAGTCGTGACCTAGTTGACAATTAAATGGGCGTAATATATTGTATATTATTCTAAAATCAATCATTTCAACAGCATTGGTTGAGCATGAGGCGCGTGCAACAGACGAGCGAGAGATCCGGGTGCACGATAATGGGAAAAACAATTAATAAATGCCTTGCCTAATGAGGGCACCCCTATTTCTGCACGCTATAATGACAGCGCGTTTCCACCGTTTTGTGGCAAAACACTCATAAATGAAACCAATAATATTTGTATTGAATTTTATTGGAGACTTGATCACGACCACCAGTGCAAAGTGAAACTTGCTCAGAATGGGCCAACAGCAACGCTTCAGCTATTACAAGTCGGGTATGTATTTCTTAGAATTTATACAAAACTAAACAAAATAACAACGGGGAAATCAAAAGGTTTGTTGGACGAATCGTTATTTGGCAATAGACTGACTGCAGACCAGCAGCCCCCGCAGGTTCAACAGCCCAATTACACGTTTCGTGGTGGTCGCAGGTTGGCACTTCTTGATCAGACGCTGCTTGGACGCAGGGTGGTCAGGGCGCCTGGTAGACTATGGGATCCTCTGCACGGCTGGGTGGACCCAGCTATGCCCACGCAAGTGTGGGTCAAGAAAAGGCCACCTGATAAAAGGGAGGAAGGAGAGAGCGAATGGCCTATTGGAAAGGTGGCCAAAGAGTTTTGCGAAGACACTTCCTTGCACGGCGTTCAATATCTTGCTGGAAACTTTTTATTTGAGAGGTATATTTTTCCACACGTACATTTCAAAACTGGTTTTTAGATGCCAAATATCTATTCTTAAATTATGTTTTTATTGCAATTATCATTATTCATGCACAAGAGAGAAGCTAATTTAAAAATGGTTCATTAATTTTTTATTTTGTTTTGTCTGATTCTCATTTTTATACTGTAAAACTTAATTTTGTATGTTAACAGAGCTAGATTTTGGTTTTGTAAAGAAAATATTATAAAAAAAAATAATAATATATCTCAGTAAAATATTTTGATTACTGATTAAAATTTTTATTATAAAATTAATATGCGTCTTTTGTGTTTTAGAATTTTCTGGGCATTTGCTCTGTTACTTGCTTTGGCGGGTGCCGGCTTGCTGATCAGAGAAGCTTACCAAAAGTGGGTAGACGCTCCAGTAATTTTATCATTTTCAACCATCTCCACTTCAGTTGCTGAAATTCCCTTCCCAGCCTTCACCGTCTGCAATATGAACAATGCGCGAAAGGGAGTTGCAGAACGTGTTTTGAACAGGTTAGGAATTTTATTTTTAAAATTATAAAACCGGAGAAAATTTTTTAAAATTATAAATTGCGATTAAAATTGTATATAAAAAATTAGCAATGACGGATTGGAAAGTGAACGAGATAAAATTCTCCTGGAAGATTTTTGCTCGGTGGACACTGCAATCACATTTGGCAGAACAGAACCAACAGAAAGGGTTGAAGCCTCATCCACTGAAGGCCAGCCCTTCGCCCGACAAGTTCACCCGCGCTGGTCCCACATTAAGGAATTTCTTGTCCGAGTAGGAAGCTCTTTTCTCTTCATTCCTATATTAATTATGTATTATTTTTTTTTTAAGTCAACACAGCCATGCCATGAAATGCTAGTGGCGTGTGCGTGGCTCGGACTGAACAGGAACTGCTCCAACCTATTTAACACAGCTCTAACAGACGAAGGCCTTTGCTGCTCCTTCAATAAAGTACCCAGAGACTTCCTTTTTCGAAACCCGTAAATTGAGCTTAAATTATTTAACGCTAATATTTGTACAACTAATTTTTAATTTAATTCAAGTCGAGATCTGTCCGATTTAAACGTGACGTTTCCTTTCCCGGCGGTGGACTGGACGCCTGAGGATGGCTACCCTAATAATCATCATCCGCAATCTCTTCCGTGGAGGGCAATCGGGGCTGGAAAGCACCTCGGCTTAACAGTGGTTCTTGACTGCGAAAAACATGAATATTTCTGCTCCTCCACAGCTTCACTTGGATTCAAGGCACGTCTTCCCACAAATTTTAGAAACCTTTTTATGTTAATAAAAAAATTAATATTTCAGTTGCTTCTGCACAGTCCCGTGGAGACACCAAAATTGCAGAGTTTCGGTTTCGCTGTTCGTCCCGGCTCGGAAAATTTTATATCAATTCAGCCTAAAGTTCGCAAGGCAAATCCGGCTGTGATCTCTGTGCCATTAAGCAAACGGAATTGCTATTTTGCTTCGGAGCGCTACTTACGTTTCTACCGCACATACACGCAGCACAACTGTATCCAGGAGTGCGAAGCCAACTACACCGTCTCCATTTGCGGCTGCGTTCTATTTTATATGGCCAGTAAGGATAATAAAAAAAATGCCTTTTAAACTCTTTTCCTTGTTGATCAAAGTATTAATCAGCTTTTGACGAGTAAAATATTTTTGCAGAGGACCAGGACGTGCGTATTTGCGGCAAGAGGGACTACAAGTGCGCGCAAGAGGCGCGGGCCAATATGGAATTGAGTCTGTATGGGGAGGCGGCGGACCAGGGTGGTCCCAACAGACCATCGTGTCGCTGTCTACCCGGCTGCAGTGAAATCAGCTACTCGGCCAGAATTTCATCGTCTGCCCTGACAGACTCATTTTCAGCCAAAGAGCGCTTCACGCCGCTTTCAGATCACCCTGTCAACATCACCTATTTCAAGTAAATAATACGTATAAATCAAGGAAGAGCAACTCCTTCAAGCAGTGGTTATGCAACCTGCTCGACTCCAACGCTAAGCGTGTGGCTGTAAACTTCTAATTTCTGTAATTCTCATCAAGAATAACGCTGAGAATTTCAACATTTTTCGCCTGCGTAAATAAAATAAAAACTTGACCGGAGTTTAAAAATAAAAAAATTCCTGCTATAAATTTTCAAATAAGACGCTGCAAAGCAAAATGAAGAGCTGACGAAGAGATCAAAATTTTTGGTTATTATAAGTCATACGCTTGAGAATGAGAAGAGAATTCATAAAATGATAAAATTATTGATATTTTTTTCAGGGAAAACTACGCAATTGTGCACCTCTACTTCTCCGAGCCGGAGGTTACCGCCTACGAGTTGAATGAAATAAACGACTATGTGGGCTTTCTAAGTAAGCTTTGCTGTTTTCCATTGGCAAACGTGTTTAATTATTTATCGCTCATTCAATTTGATAGGCAACACCGGCGGCCTGCTGGGACTCTTTCATGGTTTCAGCATTCTCAGCTTAATTGAAATTCTTTACTTTATGTCAGTTCGGTTGTTAGGCGCGAGGAGAGCACGCCAGAAAAAAGTACGCCAATTGCGCGCGCCACGCAGAAGACCATTTTCGTTTGTCAACTGAAAATTTATAATATTTATTTATTTTGTTTTTAATCTTATATATAAATGTTAATATAATTTTGCAATTACAAATAAAACTGAAAAAATGTGCAAGCTACACTTTTTACTCTCTCCAATATCCACAGCGAGGTATATAGGATTGATATTAAATTCGACAACCTCTTCTCCATTCAAAGCGATAACAGGCGACACACATAGTAGCGAAGTCGAGTGCTGATCGAGCAGCAGTTAAAACGACGAGCGGCTGTCAAATGAGCACCATTGTTTGTGACGGCGGCGGAAGTGCGAGCTTGGCGTCCTTGACAGACTTTGCTCTCGCAACCTGACGCTGTTCAAAAATGGATGCCAACGAGAGAAGAGCATGAAATTGCAATTCTCCAAAAGAGGAAAATGTAGCCGCAGCGTTCTCGTAAGTCTTCAATAGCTCTCTGGATTTTTTTTTTATTAATTGGAGATCAAAATACCATCGCTAGGTAACCGCCCTGTATTTAACCACTCTGTTGTCTGCAGTCGTTGCGCCAGGTACAGAAATAAAAAAATATTTTATAATCCTCGATTGAAATGATATTAATATTATTGCAGAAACGGGAGCTTTTAGTGGCTGCGTAGATTGTAATGATGACCTTTCGACCGGCTTTGAGGTTCAGATTGAGAGCACGCAAACATTGAGATTGAAGAGCATATCAAAAGAAATTCACGGCAGGAATGGAAAAGGTCGCATACTGATTAAAAAGAATAGGAGACGCTCGTTTTCGGCAGATCAAAGCGGTGCCGTATATAAACAACACAAAGCAGAAGCAACCCCATTAAAAAATTCAGTCAAAATATTTGCAAAAGAGAGAAACAAAGAAATCGGTGCAAACTTTTTATTTCAAGGCAAAGATGATAACAATGCCATCGATTACAAAAAGGGTATCCCTGTGATTGTGGAAAGAGGTATTAATTTGAAGCGCTCCGTGAAAAATAAGAAGGCAAGGCCAAGGCGCGGCGCAAGTAAGAAAAAAGCTCCCCCATCTGACGAGTTTGGAGAAGACATAATTGGCGAAGTAGGATCAGCAAAATACGGAAAAATTCAACAAGTGCTGAAAATTCAACCAAAGCAAGGAAATAAGCAAAGAGGCGCCAACGCCAAGAGAAATAGAGGGAATGCAGCGCTTGGAAACTCGCAGCAAAAAGCTCCTGGAAAAAATAATTATTGGTCAAAAATTAAAAATGCTAAGGAAACAAGCAATAGGGCGCCAAAAAGACCTATTAACTCAAATGGTTCTCCTAATAACCAGCAGGCCCAATATCCTAACTACGGAAACTACGGAAATCCACCCTCGCAAGATTACGGAGGTGGTGCATCACCTGACTATTCCCAATATGGGGGCAACCCTAATTTCAATGCAAATCCAAATGGAAATTCCGGCCCAAATTTCAACTACCCCACGGCAATACCATCAGATCTTACTACGATGTTGTTCACCTTCAAAGGCAAGAGGGCTAAATCTACACCCACTTGGAGAGTCCCTGTATACGGAGTGGACACGCAAACGCCTTCAAGGCCTTACTTTCAGGGTAGTGGAGGCTCAAATGATTATGGGGGAAATAGAGGTTCGTCAAATACAGGTGGAGGTAACTCTAATCAAGGTGGAGTGAATTTCAACCAACAGGGTGGGAATAATTTTAATCAGGGTGGAAACAATTTTAATCAGGGCGGAAACAATTTTAATCAGGGCAGGAACAATTTTAATCAAGGCGGATCTCCAACTGGTAATAATAATGGGCAGGGAACCCGTCGACGCAACACTGGGGGCCAGGGCGAGCGAGAAGACTTTCTGCCAAAGAACGGGACTAAAGTGAACCGCATTCGCAAGCGTTTCCAGTACATGCAACTGGACAGTCCAAACGAGATTCTGGTCGCTTGGCCGTTCACAAACCCCACAATTAATCCTAATAATCCGAACAGTGGAGGAGTTAATAGTTTTGTGACGGTGCTGGTGACCGCATTTCCCTCGCAGGCAGCCACCACAAAAAAAGTTACTGTTCCTAAAGTAAATGGCGAAGTGAAAAACAAAAATCCACCAACAACTAAAATTCCAAATCCAAAACCGACACCTTTACCCAAAACAACAACCACTAAAGGGACGACGACAACCACACCTACAACAACAACAACCGAGATGGAGTTCACAGAGGAGACGATTAACGGCAGCACCAAAGGCATGGCAGTTGACATCGACCGATTTCAAGTTCCCTCAGAGCAGCCGATGTCAATGGCGTTCAATATTGATGAAGAATTCACAGGGGTGATCATCACAGATTTTGTTACCAGCTCGAGGCGTGGAAAACCAAATGATGACTCTGAGAAGTTCAACATGATGGAGGGTGTGCTGAAGGGGATTGTGCCCACAGCGCCGCCGACCGAAGCTGGCATATTGGACGATGTTTTCAATGACATCCTCAAAGGCAATAAGGAGGCCATTGCCAAAGAGACAACACGTACCACAACAACGACAAAACCCACCTCAAAATTGACAACAAATGCTCAGTCACCCTCCACAGTTCGATCTGATGCAGCTGCTACTCCACACTCTAATTCAACGGTCCAACCAAGTGATGTCACTTCTATGTCCAATTCAACTGTCCTACCCAGTGGTAGCAATGCAAGCTTGGCAGTCACGCAGCCAGCGACTTCCACAGTCGGTTCGACAGCACCTGGTGGCACAAAACCTATGAAACCTGCTGTAACAGAACCAAGCTCTGATATTTTTTAAAAAAACTATTTTTATATATGATTCATTTCTCAGATTTTAATAAGAATATAATGTGCAATAAACACAAAGCTTTCTCTAAATAAATGTACACGCACTAATTAACAATAAAGTTTATCACCCGCATTCAGCATGCACTTATTTGATTCCTAAAATATATATTTAGACATCACAAACAAGATACTATATAATATGAATAGATATTTTTGGCACACATAAGTAAAATACTAGTTAAAAAAGTAAACTGCTGCTAGATGCAAACTTGTGATTAGTACTAGGCTGAAGGTTGACCCTGTCGTTGCAGCTGATGACAAATTTGTGTTACCTTTTTGAAAGTCCACGATGTCGTAATTAATAGAGGTCAACAATGAGTGTGCAGGAGAGCTGACTAGTGCTCTGCGCAACTGTGACTGCTGTAGAAGTGACAACTCTCCATATCTGTAGATGAACACAGTTTCCAGCGAAGAGAAAGATAGCTTGCTGAAGTGAGTGTCATTGAATGTCTGTAAATAAAAAATATATTTTAATATTAATCGTGTATTTAGTATTAATCGTAATACATTTAATTTGTTGATTAAAACAAAAGCCAATTAAATTATTTTAAATATTTATAATAAATTCCAAGTTTTTTACCTTCAAAGAGTCGCTTCTTAAACACCGCAGAGCACCAGGATGCAAACTTTCAAATTCATTGAAACTTCTTAGATTGGCAGGCGAGAGTCCTGTATGTGACGAATGAAATTTTGTTTTGAGTAAAAAAATTACAATAATTTTCACTCACCAGCCATAACAGTTCCCAATGAGTACACCAAGTCTCCATGCAAGTCATTAATGGGGCCAAACATATTGGAGCTTTCCCCATGTTTGATTATTCTTTTCAAACAGTCAAGTGGGGGGCAACGATGACTGGTTGTAAGCAAATGTGCCAGAACATGATAAAACTGTAAAAATAAAAACTTTCATAAGAAATAATTCCATATATATATATGTTTTAAAATTAACCTCGGCGAACAAAGTCGATGAGATCAAATTTTGTTCCCAGATGTGATTCGCGCACAACAGACGTCCCATGTTGCCAGCAAGTTTAGATGTTAAATTGTTTTCATTTGCTTCAAGGATCATATCAGCTATCTCATTAAGCTATACGGAAAAAGTTTTTTCAATTATAAAAAAATTAAAGGAGCACTTACTTGCTCCCACGATTGCAGATTACTGCCAACAGCACTAACAACATCCATGTCTGTAAGGTCAGATGCCCTCAGGATTTCAACGTCTACTTGAGAGGTCAATATCCCAATATCCCTTATATCCACAGTAAGATTTTTCTGTTGGATATAAAATTTAATAGTAGGCTTTTATGTTGGACTAATTACTTACATATTTAATATATTCCCAAATTTGTCTGATGGCTAATGCAGACAAATCAATCGATCCTAAATATGGCAAGCACTCTGTAAAATCTCCAGCCGCATCTAACATTTTCAAATGTTGCTCGTCAAGGCTGACTATTGTGGCATGTTTTGCCATCTTCAAAGATCCACAGAGAATCTAAAAATTTATAATTCACAAATTTATTAGTGCTATATATTTTTATAATAAACTTGTATGCCTTTTCTTTGACTGGCTCAATTTTGTTCTTGCCTGCCGCGCTTTCAATCAGCATAGAACTGTTTTGCCGATACTTTGCCGGAGAAAGTTTTGATATGGGGTGCTGCGTAGTTGTTTCCCTGTTACTTTGCCCTTCAGTCTGTGTCAGAGAATCAGTTGCCCTTTTGTTTCTTATGCTGGGATAAATCTAAAATTCAGGAAAATAAATCATTAAAGAAGCTACAAAATTTTTAGAATAATACCTTTGCAGATATGTTGAAAACGTTGCCATTTAGCTTGCGAATTTTTGGAATGGAAATTGTTATTGGCTCTTCTTTCCGTTTCTTCTGTTTACTCTCTATTTTAGAAGCCACGCTTGCTGCCAAATTGTTAGTTGTATTAAGTACAAAGCTCAGCAAGGCTTTGACGCTCTGTTCGAAGGGGCTAGCCTCATCAGGACCCAAATAACGACTACATAACTATTGTAGAAACAGTAGAAACATTAATAATTCTACTCAATGGAAAATTAATTTTAAATCTTATACCCTCATGAATTCTGGTGTGTAACCCATGCTAGAATCTAGCTGGTCGGCGGCTTCCTGAAATGCTAAAGGTTCAACCTCATTTAACTGCTGCGGTGGTACTGCAAGTAGGAGGCCAGCAAGCGTGGTTAGAGTTCCAGCAGACCACTCAGACGGAGGCCTGCAAAACCAATTCAATTTCTATCATATTTGAAATTACTTTTCTATCCGGCTACATTTTATATGGAGTTGTTTGCAGAAATTCCGAGCTCACCAGTCAGTAAAATGCGCTTTATTACAAACATTTGAAAATATGAGGAATTCCATAAATTACTTTTTAGTTAAAACTATACTACTGTATTTGACAGCATTTGCCTTTGATTGTGAAGTAAGATTATTATTTTTGCATTTAATTGAACCATAAATTAAGTATTTATCATATAAATAAATCTTTCAAGGGGAAATCGACATTTGCAAACACAATAAGACAGCATGGTAAATTTAAAGGAATTTCTGATTTTTTAAAAATTCAATTATTTTAGCTTTGCAAAAGAGCATACCTAGGAAAGGAAGCGGATTAATGATTGTAACTGAGAAACTGCCAAAGACTACTATGGACTGGAAATTAAAGCAAAAAGTAAATTTGTCTCCAAAGCTATTAAATGAAAGGCAACATCATCTATTTTATGACATTGGACATCTAACCACGACTTTGAAAACCAACAAACAGCCAGATGTGCTGTATTTCACAAAAATTAGGCTGACAACTGTCACACAAATAAAAAGTTGGGAAAAACCGTTGAGGGAAATTCAAAATGACATCACTGGTTCAAAAGTTGAACGCATCAGGAGGAAATACAAATATATTGCTTTGTCAAATACTGATGAAATAATCGTACCCTACCAAGATAGGAAATCGAAAGCTCGGCCTCAGCAACTGCAACCAAAAAATCGTCCTGAAATTAAAACTAGTACTGCAATAAAAACAAAGTTGTCTACCAAATTGGCTAAAAAAGATGAACAGAATTTTTTGAAAACTAAAACAATTTTGAATACCAGGAAAAAATACACATTTGCAACAAAGCTGACTTTGGTGACCGTAATTTCAGAGTCGACAGAACGACCAAATGATGAAAATAAATCAACCAACCAACAGGTGGTTGATCCGCCAAGCCCCGTTGATGTGAGCACCACCGCGTCACCCACAGCATTGCCCTTTCCGGTTACGAATAATTTAACTTTGCCCTTTACGACAAGAGACGGTCAAAATAAAACAAAAAAGCCCGCGGGCATCGACAACAGCAATGAGCTGTATGTGAAGAGTCTGACAGCGCCGCCAGACATTGATGAGTTTCGAATAAAAGATGACTCGACCTCGGGCTACGTGTTCAATGATCAGGAATTCACAGGGGTTATCAATATGGAGCCCCCAGTAGCGACACGTAAGGCAGCAGCTGTGACTCCACCTGACCTATTTATATTCCATCAACTTGGAGAAATTTTCAAAAATAAAATGCCAAGTAAAAATTAATGAATATGTGTTAGCAATAAGAATAATAAAAATAATTTAATTTATATTCAGTAAAAGTTTTCTTTCAAATTCGTTGACCATTATGAACATTAAAAAAAAACCGTAGCTGACTCCTCTCAATATCAAACAGATTTTGTGAAATAGTGGCCGCGATTCAACTTGCGGATGCTTTCCGTGCGTTTTTGGCGTGGCCTTGCAAGTGAAGCATCCGCTCAAGCGGGCGCTGTGCGTCAGTGCTGCATCGGCACGATCGCAGTTCTCTTCAAAAATGAGAACAAATCATGCCAAAATGTAAATTTCAACCTTATCTTATATTAATTTTCTTCTTAGACATAAGTAACGTGAGTTCAAACATTTAAATATTTTACAATAAAGATAATTGCTAAATTACAATTTCAGTTGAGAACATTTGCAATACAAAGAGATGAAATTGGCACTGAAAGTAAGCATAAGTTTAAATTAAGGCTGACGTTGAAAATAATATTATAAAATTTTTCAGATCAGAAATTGTACAAAAAATACTGTCTCGGGCAATATCCCCTTTGGAAAAACTGTTCGAAAATTCGTCAGAGCGCAAACGAAAAATCAGGCAAAATACAATTTGACCTACTTAACGGCAGAAACACAAAAAATGAGCGCCAAAAGGACTATGGTCCTACTAATATTTTAGCATCAAACTTGGCTACCCCACCATTCGAGCCCCAGAGAATGGCAAAGCAGCAGCAGCGTCGAAGACGCACATCGGCCCCTCCAAGGTTTAGTCCAAAAGGTTCTGGAAGGAGAAGGTCAACTCTTCCACAAAACCAGGAGTCCAATAATAGGTGGCGCCGCCAAACTATGCCTGATTTGATGAATTTTCCAACAGCATCCACTACAAGTACTGCCGGGACGACCACAACTGCTCGACCAATGACGCCTAAAGCGTCTATAAACCCGGTGTTTAATAAGCCTCTGCGAACTCCAAAAAAGAAAGGCATCCAATGGAATAAAATTATTAAAGGCGTAAAGGACAAGCACAAGGGAAAGGCATCTAGCAGCAGAAGCACGGCCGAGGGGGACGAGAGTTCCACAACACCGTCAAATAGAGAGGATGTCGAGGTTGACGTCACAATGCCAGACTCGACTGCCTCTAGTGATGAACGCAGAACCAGCAGAGGAACATCATCATCTATATCAGACTCAGAGGCTTTGTCAGGTGTCACAAACATAATGGAATTTTATGGAGTAGAGCGCCTGGCCGACGCTGGCAGTATCTCCACTACCCCAAAGTCAACGGGATCAGATGAAGAGTCCACACCTATAAATTCTGCGAGCAGGTCTGCAAGGGCAACAACAGCAAGTGCTGATGAAGAGGATGGTGAGGATGGAGAAGATGATGAAGACGCGGAGGATGAGGAGACGACGACAAAAAGTTCATCTAAGGACAAAAATAAAGATAAGGTAGATACTGGTAAGATACTTTATAAATGTCTTCTCGTCCTCTGTCCTCTCCCTTGACGCCTTGACACGAATTGGTTAACAAGTTATGCAACCTGCTCGACAGTCATGCAGTGCAGGTTGCATGTACCAAACGGTATCCAGAAGTTCATAAATTTAGAAAAAAAATAAACCAAGGGGACTAAGTAATAATATTAATAATTGTTTGCAGTAACAACGCCAGTGCAAAATGAAGCGGCTGAACAAAATGAGATGCGCACGACACAGCTGTCGCCCTATACAAGCCTAAGTCGCACTACCCCATCATCAACAGTTGAAAATCGTGTGGGTGATGAAACGGAGAAACCAGAAAGAGAAAAAACACAACAGTCGCCTGCTACAAACCCAAGTCGCACCACATCTTCATCAACATCGGAAAGCCGCTATGAAGAAACAGAGAAACCGGAAAAAGTGAAAAAATCAGAAACAACTAAAAGTGAGCCATCAGAGACAGTGAGTGTGCAAATCAGCAAACCTGAAACTGAAGGAGACATAGAAACTACATCGGCAATTACGTCACCCACTAACTTGAAAGACAAAAAATCTGAAGTCGGCATGATGACTCAATCAACGTCGACAGCTAAAGTGGACAAAGAGGGTGGTAAAGATAACAGCGTAGATAACAAAGAGGGATCGGCAACAAATAGCAACGCTAAGTTGGGGGAGACAACGTCTGAAAAACCTAAAGACAAAATGATCAGTACTGCAATAGATGAAGAACAAATGAATGATTCTTCAAAGGCCAGTGTGAAGACAACAGTAGATGACTCAATTTTTTCAAAGGTAGCAGCTAAAAATTCTTCAGATGGAGATAGCAATAAAAAAGAGGATTCAAGCACTAAAGAGGGTATCACAAAAGAGGATGAAAAGAAAGAATTGGAAAATAATAAAAAGGAAGAAAATAACAAGCAGGACAGCAAAAAGGAGGATGAAAAAAAAGATGAGACCAAGAAAATGGAAAGTAACACAACAACGGTGGATCCTAGTGAAGAGGATACAAGCGACGATGAAGAGGAGGGCAATGGGGAAGAAACAGACCCAGAGGATGAAGAAGAAGTAACAACAAATAAAAATCAAGCTGATTCTAAAGTTGTTAGAACCTCCAATGCTCCAGAAAATTCAGCCAAGGCTCCATCGACGGCTGCTTCAGATGCTCTTGATGAGTGAATATGCACATGTTTTACATAATAAAAATAAAATTTAATTAAATAAAGCAAAATTAAGTAAAAAAATTTGTTTCCTTTCTTCCCTAAAGAGAAAAATTTAGACGAACTTACCCATAAGCGTCAACGATGATTTTGTACCAGAGAGATGCCCTCATTCCGCGAGTGACACAAAGAGCTGTGTCTGACTTTCTGTCTTTGCCCTCCAGCCACAGCCGGAAGGCTCTGGAGTCAAGGTTTGCATGCAGTTCATCTGCAAAGGGCAGAAACTGGAACAAATTGCCCATTTCGTGGAGAATGGCCTAAAATTGTACATCATATTAATTAAAAAACAACAAGCAAAATGAAAAAAAAGGTACTTTTTTGTTATTGAGCCTCAAGCTGATTTGCGACAGCAGCTGTGGCGTTGACCCTGGCAGGACAAAAACCTCCAGGAGCTCAATAATAGAGAGACGTCCTATAGATTGAACAATAGTAGCCCAATTCTTTGTAGTTTTGATTGCGGAGTAGGGCAAATACACCAATGGATTGCCTATTATATATATTATATTTTTTGTAATTATTTGTAATGGGAGATGTTAGATATACTATATAACATCTTTTTCAAAAACTGACTTACCTCCAATTGACATGATCTCTGCCTTATGCAATGTGTCAAGTAGTACTTCCGTGTCAATTTGCTGTGATTCAGCACGATGCTTCAAGTAGGAAAGAAGCGGCTTAAGGGCGCACTTGCTCAAGTCCTTAGGGTACCATTGATTCTGCAATTTTTTAAATAAATAATAATGCAAATATTTTTTTTATATTTCATTAGTGAAAAGTCGTTACTTACAGTAGTTTGCAAGTGCTGACCAAGAAGTGCCAAGATGGGCAAACCATGGTTCCGACCAAGTTCCAAAAGATCACTGCAGGTTAGTCCCATGATCAGTTTTGGATTATGGAGCAGGAAATGAGCCCATTCATCCAAATCTGTCATATTGGAGCGTGAGTGGTGTGCCACTAACCGTAGCTGAAAATTGCATTTAAAAAGAATATTTTAGAGAATTTATTTCTCATCAAAGTCACCAAAGTGTACCGGAAAAAATAATAAAAGGGAGAATGTGACGCAAAAGCGACATGTGTGTAACCTAATTTAGCACAAAAACATACTTTGGCTTCCCAGCAGGGTGAAGCCCTTCGGTGCTTTTCATTTGCCCTCAAACATCCCAAGAGCTGCCATTCTCATTTCCACAAAAATAATTACTTACAAAGCTACGGGGCCAGCCTTTCTGGTGTCGGCTTGTCCTTATTATTTTACTCAGTTCCAAGGCCATTGGCTTTATATCCTCAGACTTCATCAGGTGTGCAAAACGGTTTGGCTCCTGCTCCCCATTAAGCATTGCCTCTAATAACCACTTTTTACCTAATTAAAAATCCATTTTGAAGATTTGTATAATTCAGATCAAATTAAAATTAACCTATCAAGTTTTTTGTCCTGTCGTACAGGATGAAAAGAGCTGTGCTTTGTGGTGGCAAGTTAGAAAGCAAATGTGTGATGACAGACTGAGGCAAAATTTCCCTCTGATCAATTTTCACAGACGGAATTATTAACAGCAGGTTACTGGATGGCACCAATGCATTTTCAAGGGTAGTCGACGGATTGGAAAAATGTTCTCCAACAAGAATTCGAGCCTGCTTGCTGCTAAGTTGAGCAGAGTCAATGGCAGTGAGGGCCTAAATTAAAAAAATTTTAAATAAAAGAACATTTATGTTTAGGAAAAAACCCAGATGGAGGTATAATAGGTAGCATTATATTAAAATATAGAATAGAGTGAACTCACTCTGGCCTTCTTATCCTCGGGCAAAGCCTCAATTACACGGGCAGCTTGGTACAAATAGGAGGTCGGCAGCGCGAAAATCCACTTTCCAACATCGGTCAACGTTTTCTCGTCCCAAACGGCACTGTCTCTGTTAGCTTCCTGCACGAGCAAGTGGGCGAGCTGCAATTCAACGTTCACTTTAGCGCATAATTTCTCGTTTAAGAAAACGGGTGCCCCATTACCTGGGCAGCCGATGCCCAAGAGACGGGATGGCGCTCGTTTCTCTCAAAAGCCTCTCTGGCCACACGACTCAAATTTCTGTGTGCCAAGGAGGCAATTTGCGTCGGCGTTAATAGAGGAAGCGACATCTCCAGGAGGTCAGAGTTGGGTCTTTGACTGTGGTGGGTTGAAGCAAAAACTGCTCTTATCTGCCGATAAGACATCACGATTAATAATTTATCAGGCCCAAAACCGTGAACTTCTGCTTACCTGCATGGGGTCAAGGGGCAGATTAAAGATCAATTTTTGGGTGTCAGTCGACTTAAGTTTGATTTTACTAAGCTCGTCAGGCGTACTTCCGGTAAGTATGAAGTTGATGCTGGTTATTCATGCATTTTAAAATGGTTAAAGGAAAAATATGATTTAAATAAATTTACAACTGAAGTCTTTGGGGACTGAATTGATGCAGTCTGGTGGCGTCGCCGGAATCGAGCATTTCAGCCCACACTCGTTTTAAAGATGGGCTTTTTTTGGACCACTCTAAAGACCTGGAAGTAGGCCATGTCCACTGCTGCAGGTGGTACAGGCTAAAAATTATTAAAAAAATATTGAATTAAAAAATTCCTAAAAGCTGTGCATTAGGAAAAACCTATTAAAAAATAATAATAAAAACAAATTAAAATTTCCCATTTTGAAACCTACAATTTCTGCTGCTGCTTTATTTCCATGTTGTAGAGAAACGAACGAGGCAAATAAGCCAGAACAGGGCTGCCCGTTTCCAAAGCTCTGCGGAACAACTCAAATTTCCACTGATTCTCCATATCAGGGTACCACACTGGCATGATTTCAGCCAGAACTTCCTGCACCGCCTCCGACAGGTCCAAATTTCCCTGCATCTGCAAATATGCACAAGAAAAAATTCAATGTCTAAATGAGAAAATGTGAACTGACAGCCTTGAGGAATTCAGCACGCTGACGCTTCTTGGCGCACGCCAGCACCGACTTCTCGAATAGGGCCGCGTTTTGCGCGTTCGCCAATCCCAAGGCGGCCAAGTCGCTGCCGCTCAGATTCGACAGTTGTTCCGGCTGCGGTGGAGAAAAAGAAGAGTAGTGCCATAAATTGGATTTTTTGCGTTCGAATAGCAGTCACTTTACCCGCAACATGTAGAGATCAAGGCTCGTCAAATTGCCTAGATCGTCTTTCTCGATGACGAACTCCGACTCGGCGTCGTATATTTGCAAAACTTCATCACAAAATCCTGGAAAAAATTAAATATTCACCGTATTTAGTTGAACAAATTTTTTAGAGGAAATAAATGCAAGCAAGAAATTATCACAAATCAGATATTACAATAAAAAAATTTGATTTCATCTTTAAATTCTTTAGAAAGTATTTTCTTTCCCATTTTCCGCTTCATATTTCTTATTATAACTTTTTGCAAAATTTATATCTCTATATTTTTTAACATAAGCAGAATAAATACAAGGGAATAAAAATGTATGCTTAGAACAAGGTCGTGAGCTAAATTACTAGCATATTTCCATGCGACGTGCGTTTGAAAAAGACTATAAATCCTTGGCATCATAGGAATGCTTCTCTATTTCTTGTACATACACTCATTGTCAGAGTTATCTGCAGCGCGGTGCAAACTCAAGCATTTCTTGTTCGATTTAGCTGGATTTAGCAACAAGCTGTTTAAGAGCGCTTTTGAGAAGTTTCTCGACAAATTGCAAATAATAATTCCAGTGCATATCTATAGACATCAAGAAAAAAACTTTGGGAAAGGTGACTTATTCTGCCATGACTTGCTCATGACTTTTGGGATTCAAATATTTAAATAACCGAAAATATCCTTCATTGCGTTAATACTTATTAATAAATATTCCAATTAAAAAAAAACGATAAAAACTGGTAAAAATAAAGTCGTTCATCACCGTTAAGTACATCAGAGTAATGCACATAATATTATTACGTTAATAAATTACACGACGTACACTTTAGAAACACTTAAAATTTACCAGAAATTTATCATTTTTGCTGCATGAGCCGCTTATTGGGCACGTCAAAAAATAAAGTTCAAGGTCAATGTTAGCGGTGGAGAAAACGACAAAAGCAGTATAAAATTAATAGAATCTTTCCTACTCACCACAAGGAATCAAGACGAGCCAGGCGAAGATGAAAGGCAACATGATCTGCGATCCGACGAACTGGTCGAAACCACCGACCCGAATGATCAGCGGTCGATTTTCGAGCTGCGGGCACCTGGATTGTGGTGCGGACAGACGAAGGTTGAGAGCAGAGTGAAGAGAATCAAGGCGATGGTGTGGCGAACGCAATCAGCATCAAGAGAGGCGCCAAGGCGGGCCCAAAGCAGGGGGGAGGGTGAGCTGCCGGTTGCATATCACTCCAGGGGCTTGCGAGCACGTAATTGACAGCAGTTGTTTTTCAGTTGTTTACTGCGGGCTGATTGGTGTAATTCTGTAATTATATAGTTTCTTTCTATTACTTTTATACTTTTTCTTTTTCTTATAAATTTTATATTTGAAAGGTTAATAATCAGCAAAAGAACTAGAAGTAAAAAATCGTAAATTTTACTGCATTAATGATACATAATTTGTGTTTCAATAAGAAAAGGGAAATTTTTTAGATGTTGGTAAATAATTCTTCTTCACTGTAATTAAAAAATCTCAAGACATGGATAATCCATCGTTTGTTGGTTGTGATGGCTCAGAGAAATCTGACAGACACTCTTTTCATCCCCGTGTCAATTTGCATTCAGCAAGTTGAAAAAGATGGAGCTAATGGGCTCATAATTTCACACAAAAAAATTTGCGTCCCTGCCCAGTTGAAACACCATTTGGCGATTTTGACGTCGCCACCCTCACCCCTTACACCCTCACTAAATGACTAAAGTGCCCCAACCTTTGTCGCCACCGCCGCCACAACAAATTTCGAACTCTGATCCTCTCGCATGTCAGTCAGAGCCTGTAATCACTAGTCCATTAGAATTATATAGGCCACGATTTTTATCAATATATTCCAAATATTTTCTTTCGTCCCAAATAAAAACAACTTCATTATTCTTCTCGGTGGATACAAACAAAATTTGAAATTGAAATTTTATTAAAAAAAAAAATGCTGATCACATTTCAAATTAATTACTTTTGATTGGTGATGAATCAGCAACTAGAACTAATATGATATATGAATATTTAAAAAAGTCATTTATTTGAAATTTGATCAGGATTTTTTTAATGAAAGTAAAATTAACAACCTACAAAAAACATGAATTTAACATAAAATTTATTATAGTTTTGAAAAATAACAAATATTCAATACATACTAGTTGCGATGCTTATTGAAATGAACCTGAATATTTCCGATGCAATTTTACATAAAGTTAATCAAGTGGTTTTTAGCTTACTTAAAATTACTAACACAATGTGATAGAAGAATTATTAAAAAAATATTTAAATTTTTCCTTCTATAACTCAAATAATAAAAATTTAATCTTAAACGCTATCTAATAGTGCCTAAGTAAAAAAATTAATTTAATACCTGAAACGTTACTTCAGATTGACTTATATTATCTACAAAAATTCAAATATAAATTGAAACATACAGAATTTTGGAAAATATATAAAAAATCAATACATTTGTTAAATTAAAATTTATTTTACTCAACATAAATAGGCGCCAACGTTCACTTAACTTCCCTTACTTCCCTTTCCGGGATTAAAACCAATTTTCAAATTAATTAAATTCTGCAATTGAAAGCAAAATAAAAACACATTGACCATTGACCGAGTCGAAGCCTAATTTTTAACTACACAAATTTGGCAACCGCGGCGGCCCATACATGTTTGTCGGGTGAATCGTGTTTGTGTGTTGGGGTTGCCGGAAAATTAAATGCAATGCGTGGGGAACCGGAGAGTGCGCGAGGGTGAGAGAAAAGCAGAGCAGAGAGTGCGTTGTGTGAATTTTGCTTGTCGAGTCGACACGCAGCCTGTTGCCGTCAGGGGAAGGAAGCGGCGCGGGCCGAAGGTGGGGAAGGCCGAGCCCCTGGGCTGCGCTCGGCTCACTCGACACTCCGCGCTATCGTCCTCCACTTGCAGTCGACGTGCCCTGCGAGGAACGAGGCACCACACTCCGCCTCGCGGACTCCAAACAGCACCACGGTCAGTTTCTTTACTTTGACTAATTCAAAACTGTCTAAATAAATAAATATAGAACTAAGATATTGCAGAAAAAGTTAACACCAAAATTATTTTTAGAAATTTTACTGTTAAAATTTTGTCAAGAACAAAAAAGTGTTGCAGATAATAGTGGCGTTTAAATTTGTGTGCAATTTCAAAAAAAAAAAAAAAAAAAATTAATAAATAAATAAAATAAAGTACAATTTGAGATTTGAAGCAAAAATTTGCTCTTCCACATTTTTTTAAACTCATCAATCATTTTTCTTTGCGATAACAAAGAGAGCAGGAGGCTTTTTTTGTAAATTATTATAATATTATTGTTAATGGACCCTTTTTGCCTCTAATGGAGCGCCCGCCCGCGCACTCGTCACGTTGTTATTTCCACACGCAGAACAAACACGTTTTTCTTTTTCGCGGATTCGGAGCCGCATTAGCGATGCAATTAATCACATGGCCAAAGCGGCTGACAGCGTTTCTGCTGGTGCTGAATTCCATTTGACTGATGTCGCTGCCGCAACTTTAAAGATTCGCCTGTTGCTCCCGGGGAGGGAAATTGCCAGGCTAGATTTTATCGGGCCAAGAAAGTTTTCGCAAATCGCATTTCCTCTGCTCTTTCGATATATTATATGAACAACACAGTTTTCAAAGTGCACACCATAAAGTGCTATAGCACAGACCAGGTGCAACAAAATCGAATTTCGCTCGCAAACTTCCTGCATTGCAAAACAAAACGGAAGCCGGACCAAAAATAATGCATCCCCTTCCCACACAACCCTAGGCTTTTTCTTTGCACCGCAATGTTTTCTCGCCGTTTCCCCTAGCGCGCGGCTAGTAAAAAATAAAGTCGATTCTGAGCGAGTGCCGTTCTCTCCAGGGCAAATAATACTTGCTAAACAAAACCGACAAAATTTCCATTCAGGTTGTGTGGAAAGATGTGTGTTTTCTCATCCTCACACCAGTTTGTTCTTGGAATACAAATGAGCGAGAGACGTTTATACAAAAGTGTAATATTGCAGAAGAGCAAAGTTTAAGATGGAATGTCTTATTGAAAGCAACAAATTTGGCAGGCTTCAGAATTAACCACTCAAAGAACAAACGTAACAGAGTTTTCTATTTTCAGTTATTTTAGCAAACATTTCAACCAATTTGAAAATCTTCGTGTTATTTATTTACACAGCATAATTTCAACAAATGCCATCAATTTTCCATTTTTATTAATATTTAGAAAATGAATTATTAAAGATTTAGTGATAAATAAAAAATTATCTGAAATAAAGATAATTATATATGAATTATTCAATACGGAGCAGAAAAATTGGCTAACTTAAGGTAATTTCTATTTATTTTCGAAACTTGTCTTTGTAAGGAAAAGAAAATGGGCAACTTTGAAGTTCTTTTCCCGCTTTGTGTGTAAAGAAAAATTCGTCAATATTTTTTTCTTTAATAAACTTGGACTAACAAAAAGGGTTTAGTAGGGGTGAATTTGTAAGGAATTATTCCTTTCCCTGCAGAAAAGTCCAAAAGCCACACGACTTTTTTCTTGGCATTTAAAAAAAACTTGTTCAAAGAAGTGCATTCAGAACTCTGACAATGAGACGAACTTTGGCATTTCCATCGACGGCTGCACCCGCCCCGAAAACTTTGCCAAATTAATTGATTGGAAGCCGCGGACATGACGAGCAGGTCGCGGATTCTATATAGGAGGCGGAAAAGCGCCGGAGTGTCAGTCGCCGAGCAATTGGGCGCTTAATTAAAAAGCAGCGAGTGCCGATAACGAAGCGATAGTGCACGTCGCGCATATACGGTGTTCCCAATACCCGCTTGCCGCCCGCGACTCACAGAGAGACACCGCGCGCGATAATTATGTAAAAAGGTCAACCCTTTGTGACACTGCTGCTTTTATCACCAACGCCGACACACAAACCATAACATAAGCGATGGCAAGTTTTATTTTCGCTTTCGTGCACATTCAAAGGGCCGAAAAATCGAATGCCATAGGGTATGTATTAAATTGATCAGAAATTAAGAACAAAGAGAAAAATAATTAATCCAGTTATTCGTCCAGTTATTATTAAAAATTTAACAAAGAATAGGGATTTAGAAAAATATATGATTGTGATTGGAAAGTTGACAGAAACGGGTTATTTGTCCATTAATTACATGTTCAGTACTTTTTGTTCATTTGATTCTTCTCCATAGGGTTAGAGTACGAAGATTTTATCAAAATTACTTGATTGCTTTTTGTTAATTAACAAAAGGCGGTAAAAAACTGACGAGTTCTGACCCAGAAGTTTTTTGTCGAAAAATTTCTGTTTCAAAAAATAATTTCTTTTTCTCCAGGGCCTCTATTCTCTCTTACTCTTATCTTTTCCTTCTTGCTAAAGTGGTAAAACTGGTTAAAATGAAGAAACGGCTTAATTGTGAGAAAAGGGGAAACAAGGAAAGACATTGTTCTAGCTGTCGTTTTAAGAGCCGTCAGCAAAAAATGTGGGAAACGCGCAGACCTGTGAGCTGTTTGCCCGCAGCTCCAAATAATGAACCATCAAGACGAAGGTGGATATCAGCATAGAGCGAGAGAAAGGATGTTTTTTTTTTTTGTATAAACCAGGCAGACAGCTCGTGTCGAAATTGTTGCGCCGCTCTCGTTTTGCGCACAATGGCAAATTTATGCATGCATTTGAATGAGCATGTTCTGCGCAGTGCTGCTTTTCAGCGGATTATTTTGCATCTGCTCAACGCTTTGTCTGCCACTTTTCTTGACGTGAGCTCTCAAGGCGCAACGTCAGCGTTAACACTTATTTTTCCTCTCTGGGAAAACTCGAGTCGATGCCTGGTATATGCAAATGCCTATTGTGTTCGCTGGAGATTAGACAGCCATTTTTGTATCTATCTGAGCTGCACCTGCCTCTGCTGAGTCGAAGCGCATAAATTAATCGCCTCTTTTCCGGATTAGCTTCGAGCAGAAGCAATTGACCTGGGCCACGTGTTGTGTGTAAGGGCTCGATTTGCATTGCAAGGGCTCTCGGCACTTTGAAAGCGGATCTCTGCTGAATTAGCCATTCGTTAGGGCCTTTCACCCGGCGCGCGCTTTAATCTTTAACCGCACGCGCCTCCACCACTCTCTTTCATGCTGGCAAATTTTTCACGGTCGCCGTTTCTGTGCCAATTGTGCATCATTTTATGGTCATAGGGGCAACATAAACTCTTGAATCCAGCTGTTGCAACCAGTTTAGGATATAAAAGGTCATAAAATTATGTACTTTTTTTTTTAAATAAATCACTACAAACTGTCTAAACTTTACGGTTTTGCAGAAATGATATATGAATGCATCTATGCTTTAATAATTGCACCAATAAGTTATTGTCATGGAAATTAAGCCATAAAAATTATTCACAGAAAAACAATAAGGCAGAAAATATTTTTTTCTATAGAAATGTGGTTTATTTAAAATAGCCATTTTATTATTTATGGAGTTCAATATTGAAAAATTCGCGGAAATTTTCGTCTGTAACATGTAACAAAAAACCCGAATGTGATGTAAAAGAAACTTCTAAATTAATCGCAATTAAGGAGGGTCTACTGCTAATTAATGGCCCGAGACGATGCACTTATAGCTAAAAATTTGACAGTCTGCACTGCATAAAAAAAATGAGGGGAAAATTATTGCAAAGAGGAATGAGGGGCTTGCTTGACTTCTTTTGGCCAATTCAAACCATATAAAAGACCACATTTGACTCCAGGGTTCAACAATCAAACAAATGCACTGATTTTACTAAATATCATGCGCTTCTCCTTAATCGATCAATATAATGCAACTGGTGCCGAACCATGCTGAACCTTGTCTTGAAAAAATTCAGATAGGATTAACCTAGAGACTTAACTGACTTAAGGCTAAACGTTAATTTTTCTGAAAGACTTTTGGTGAATAAATGTTTTCCAAAATTTTACTCCTTGTCTATTCAGACACAAACTTTAAGTTTTTGCAGGGAATACCAATTTCCTACTTATTGTTCCAAATAAACTTGCGCAACTTATGCATCATTTGTTTTATTACAAAATCTTGCAATTTATGAGGTATTCGATTCTCCACGAAAGAAGCGTGTCATTAAATATAATCTATAAATATGTAAAAACTTTCATTAAAATAATCAAACCGACCACACAATAAGCATCCAAACTATAGCAATAAATGCTTTTAAAATTATTTTGGATGCCACTGTTAAGTTGCAAAGCAAAAAATTTATTATAAGTTTGTGTATTATTTATCGATGTTGCCTGTAGAGCTTGATGGTTATTATAGAAACAAAATTTCCTGTATCATCTAGACGAAATAATATTTTTATTCACAGTTATTTAAAAATTTAGAGATATGAAGTATTATGTTCTCATATTTGAAATTAAACCACGGGGAATGCGCAAAAACAAGTACACATTAATTTACATTTAAATTTTGTATATTCTATTGTCACATCATCTTGTGGCATAATGCTTCACCGGGCAGTTTTCTCGTTGCAAATAATTTATTATCCATAAATCAAATAAGCAGCTATGCGTATCTATCTATCGAATCTCTACCGAGCCTCAATAATAAAAAAAAATAACAATAAAACCATTTATTGCCATCATAAATATAAATAAATGGCGAATCAGCACTTTTGCTTATTAAAACTAAATATTTACTTTTAGCTTCAGTGAGATATGATTTCTTGTAACTTACCACCACTCCTGATTAAGGCTGATAGTGGTATTATCTTGCACTATTTATATTGTAATCCACTCCACATTCTAGAAACTGAAAATCCCAAATTGCGTCCTTGCAATCAGGCATTAGTAAAATTTATTATATGCTATACCTAACTCATAGAAAAGTAAATTGTGTTTATTACAAGGTCACAGCTTGAAAGCAACCTTGTTGCAACGCACACCCATCCCGCATCGCCAATTGCGAATAAATAAAACACTGCAATCAAACGTGAAATGG